TCTTAGCTGCATTCATAAAATGCTACAGATTCACAGTCTGACTACACATTTAATTATTGACAGGCATAAAGGTGATACAAACAGCCAAGGCAAAACCACCATAAATAATACATTTCAATGCAGAATGAACTATTGAATGAGTCACTGTACAAATACAATTTCCTGACAGCTGGAAACTAAACTACCATAACACAGGAGATTCAAACACTCTCGGAGCTTTAAGTACAAAGAATTTTCCATAAAGAGTGTTTTGAATGTGGTTTTGTAAAGGAAGTCGAAATAAGGGAGCTGAATAAACCACTTGGGGTAAGGAAAAAGGTAAATCATAAATCATGAGAGGAAGTGGAGTGGATTGAAATAACCAACAGCTACAGTTTTATTTGTTCTGTTGTCATATTTTTTATTTTAATGGCCAAAAGGGCTCTGAAATTAAAGCTAGGCTAAGCATTTTTTGTTCTATTTGTTGAAATTCTCTTTAGAGCAATCAATAAATCAAATGCTATTATTAAAAAAAGAAAGAAAGAAAACAATTCAGTGTCTGATGCTGATGCAGGCTTGTTATAAGACTACCTACATACCTTCCCACCTGTGCATGTTCTGCCTGTGCGCTCACAGTGTGTGGGGTAGACAGAAATATTTCTAACGCTAACAAGCTAGTAGTATAAGAATGGCCAAGAAATATAAACATGCATACTACTACTGTTTTTTAATACAATTTAACAAAAAGTTTCTCAAAGTTCTCAAATGTTAAATGTCTACACACAAGCAGCCATACAAGAACTTTGCCCGACTATAATAAATAATTAAAAACTAAGTAAACAAGATTAGAAATTCAATTTGAGTACTTGGCAGTAATTTAAAGTTGCTGCAGAACAGTGTTTGAATTGTTTTGAAGTTGATTATAGTTATAGGTTACTTACAATAATGTACTTTTAAATTGCAAATGGCCTAGTTTAAGTGAAAATGGAGGTATTATTGGAACAAAATTGACCTAGAGCAGAGTCTGCAGAATTTTCAAAGAAATCGTTTTTCCTACAGATTTAATGAACAAACGTTGAGTGTCTGTTGAATTCTCAGGTTGAATTCTTCAGTAAAAAAAAAAAAAAAAAAAAAAGTTCCCGTTATAAAAGTAACAGCACAAACAAACTTCTACAACAGATGCTGGCATTCAAGGTGAACTTGATTAAAACACGCTGGGTGCCTGACTATAACTGGTTCTGTCTTCCTGAAGTCAAAGCAAAACATTATGTTGAGCATATGGAACTGAATATTATACCCAGAGCCTGAGACGCCTCCTCTCCCTTCTCTTAATAAACATGATATTCAAGCTTAGTATCACGGTGCTCACTGAACCAGCTAAGGACTTGACGGCAACATCAATGCATCTCATAGTTTATGAATATACAGTCTGGATTCCTGCCTGGAGTGTTTCAACTGCTTCCTCTCATAAACTTGGCATCGGTGCTGAGCATGTTGTAAGCACAAGGCATTCTTTCACTCATTCAGCCAGGCAGGAAGTCAGTCAGTAAATCAGTCATTCAGATGAAGATTTCTCCTCACACGGCTGAACATGGACCAGAGGTCAGATCCACTATCACTGGAGCTGCCCTCATTCTCCGACGCTTACGTCTCACATCCTGCGTGTCACAGAAAAGCTCAGTGGCTGCCCGATAGATTCTAGCCGCCCGGGCCTTCATGACCTGCACCACCTCAGATAACCAACACGGTAAGACACTGGGGGGAAGAGTACGGTCAAGAGGCAGGCCGACAATTATTTGTGGCATTTGTCTAACCTTTCACGGCGAAATCAAGTGAGTGGCTGCCTGGATTACCTGAGTGGATGCTGTTGCAATCATTCTAAGCAGCTAAAGGTTCAGTGCATCTTACTCTGCAAGAAATGTCATTCTCTTTAAAACGGAATTCCAATTGAGTCATAATTGAAAAAAAGAAATGTATAAACAACTGAAAAGAATCTGCTCAAAGGGATATATTGCTTCAGCATTTTAAAGTGCAGTTCCCTTGATTATATTGCGTATACCTGAGAAACTGATTCTAGAAAACTCTTTTAACAAGTTGAAATGGAGGAAGAGTGAAGTTGTAAAACCCTGCTGACAAACGTTGCAAGATACATACGATTTTTAGAAAGAATTACAAGCATAAATGTCTTCCTAGGAAGGACATTTTCATCATGTCTACATAAAATGTCTGTGTTAACTGTGGCAAGGCAACAGAAAAAAACCTGCCTATAATTCCATTTTCAAAGTTGGAAGGATTAGAGCTTTTTAGGTTTACGTTCCGCCTGAGCACACAGGGTCAATGGAAGCCTCTCCCCCCCTTTTGTGAAAAATGACTTTATTTAAATTTTTGTACAGTATGAAAGAACGCGAAAAGTCTAGTAATTTTTAAGCCGGGAAAGATTAAGTACACAGGCCCTTTTCCAGCACCAGCCTGGCTCCTGCATCATACCAACATTCACAGCTGGGATCCGGCCAGTATTACCACAGCTTAACAGCACAGCATAACCCATTCTGTCCAAAGAGTGCAAATACTGCAACTGGATTCGTGTCTCAGGTGCGGCTCCTTTCTCTGTCCTTATGCACCTGATCTTGCACCCGTGTCACGTCTCTGAAGCGTGGAATATGTGAATGTTTGTAAATGCCTATAATATTTTATCCTAGATTCGATGTGTTAAAGACAGCTAATTGTGGTTTCAGTGTACTATAATTTTTTGTTTTGTTATTACAGGACAAGGCAGTAACTTCACAACAATGTAGAAATATGTGAAAGCCAAAAGAAAATATATATTTTTTATATTGTCAATATCTTTCTCAATATAAAAATGAACCAGCAGGTAAATATGCTCAGCCACTGCTGCTGAAAACTGGGGTTGAATGACCACTAATGGGCAATCCAGCTTGTGTTCCAATAAACACGGCTGGCTGTGTCACGTGACGGAGCGTGTCTCGATCATATCTCAAAGAGACCGAAGCCCCCCCTTGAAGCCATGTTAATGCCAGTTTGGTGGGATTAAAAACATACAGCTTGTCACTTTATTAACATCAATGTTTGAGCTATTGATAGAAAGAAGTCTCTTGTTTGCCTTTGTGTCGATGTCAAAACTGACTCCTTTCATTAATTTTAGTTTTACAAATAAATCCAAATATTAATGCCAATTTAGCAAGTTATTAACCTCACAAATAGCTATATATTTATATTTTTCCTCCAAGAATATATCCATATCCATATGTTGTTGTTCTTTCCTGGAAACAGTTATTTTGCTGAATACTGCACTTGAATGGACCGTTATACAGACAGATACTACACATACGCTTAACAAGAAATTTTCTTCTCCACAAAACTATTTAAGGCAAAAACAGAAGATCGGGGGCAGCCAGGTGCAGTACCCTTTGTAGAGAGTATGAATAAATGTGTTTCTTAATGACTTTTTGTGGTGTGGGTTCAACGTGTTAATGTGCAGGAGCAGTCTCATTCAAGGTCTCGCTGCAAAATACATCACTCAACTATCAACACAACAGTGAGTTTTCCACAGTCCACAGATAGTTTCACTGCTGACTCCCCTTTTCAATCTGTCAGTTAAAATGAATTCATTCCAATTAATAGTGGTTTCACAGAGTGCTCTGGTAACAAGCTGAGGCTCACAGTGGGAGACTTGCCCCTCGGTGACCCCTAATGAGCCAGCAGCCTCCTGCCAGAGGAAGCCCGAGCCGCTGCACTTGTAATGAGCTGCTGTTTTGCTACAGGCCTTTCAGATGAGCCATGGAGCTGTCATTCGCACCACAGTACATGCACGGCTCCGGCAGATGATGCAATTCTTTGGCGACTTTAAGGACAATGCACGCCTTTGGTGATGCGTTACTGTTAAAATTTTAATTCAGCATTCATAAAGAAACATCATTTCAGGTATTCTTGTCATATTTTTTTTCACAGTGTGGATATCACAGTTTCGGAAAGAGGTAGCATCTCTTTCGACTCTGTGCTTAAACTGTAACGTGCTTCTGTTTGTTTGTAGTTGCTGTTCAGATGCGGTGCTCTTGTCTAAAGTTGCAAGTGATATTCAGAGACTAGAAACAGACAGTGACTGAGGATAGGCGCCAGAGGCAACTTATGTTATTTTTGTTTTGTTTGATACACATGCTGTTTTTGTTTACCATGAAATTGCAACTAATGAATATTTTCATTACTGGTTAACCTATCTTTTTTTTTTTTTTTTTTTTTGCAATTAAACATTTATTCATTTAGTCTATAACAGCACAGAAAAACAGGAAGGAGTTCACTAATATGGACTGACAGCCCTGGGTGAGGTATTCCAAATTGCTTGTTTTGTGCAACCAATAGTCCAAAACCCAAATGTATTTAACTTATATTGACAAAAGCTGCAAATCCTCCCATTTGTACAACATGTGTGCAGTGTTTTTTAATTAATTTAAAATGTTGATGTAATTTTCTATCACTTGTTATTCCATATTAACATTATGTCATATTGTTTTGCCTATGTGGCTACAAGAACTAATAATGTTATATTACTTAATTTGTAGTTGTGACCTCATTTGTCACATGTATCTAATTGGCTGTAATCCATAAGGCAAAGGTTTTATTTCCATTGGCAAAGCACCTTGCTGTTTTAGTTTCCACAGTGGATCTAATGTGCTCAACAGACATAGTTAGAGATCTGGACTCTTCCCTCTGACTCTGCCTATTGTTGCCGGTTGGACACAAATTGGATGCATGCTCTCTGAGTGTGACTTGCTGCATTTCTGATGTTATCAGACACACAGCCACACTCACGCCGTGACGCCTGTGCAGGGAGGGAGGCTGTAATGTGCAGAAAGTTATGACTTGGGCTTCATCTCGGTGACACACTGTGCAGAGCTTGATAAGAACCAGAACGAGCGTGCTGGTATAGTTATCAGTCTAAACACGTGGCCTCACCTGAGAGTCCTTCAACTCGCTGCCAACCAGCCAACATCACAGAACCTCACCTCGGCACTCACCTCCACGTCAGTAGACACGGCGGCGGTGTGGAGGGGGGGGATCCAAACGTAGGTGTTAGCGGGGGATTGATGAAGAAGTGGACCGCTTTCTCTTTCTCTTCTGTTGCTCTCTCTTGTCTCCCGGCGGTGAGATTGGCTCGGACACCAGCTCCGACGCGCTTCGCGATCCCGAACGACACAGCCGAGGCGGGCGGGCACCGCTGGAAATTTCTGCAGCGGCTGATGCACTTCCGCGCGATTTGTTTCCCCTCTCTCTCTCTCTCTCTCTCTCTCTCTCCCTCTCTCTCTCTCTCTCTCTCGCGTTTCGATGTATTCTCTGTCTTCAGCTGTCATAAAAGACAAACTTTGATAATTTCATAGGGCATTTCTAGGCTGTCGAAATTGCTGCCACATCCCTAAGGTACCGTGACTGTAGATGTTGCGCTCCGGTCTTCTCTCTCCTCTGCTCCTCCCGGCAGCAGGCGGACGGGAGGGCGGTGCGACTGGATGCGTGCGCTCCAGCGGTGCATGCGTGGCACGAACGGTCAGATCCCTGGATTCACCTGTCATCACAAGACAAAGTGCATCCTATTTAAAATACAATCGAAGATGAAACCGCCTCAGAGGCTGTCACCCCCAGAGCCAGGGGTGCTGATAAGATTTTAGGTGCTCAAAGAGGGGGTGCACATTCTTCCAAAGCCACAGGGGGGGTGCCCACCCCCCCGGGAGGAGATTAAGAGAAAAAAGAGTTACTCTAGAAGCCCTGTAGATGTTTCAGGATGCTCTGGGTTTGGGGGAAGTTACTGATAAATTCTATAAAGTTGGAGAATCGCTGCCCAAACTTTTATGACAAAAAATCAATCCAGACCTAATAGAGGTCTGGAGGACTTAATAGAGGTTTCATCCCAAGGAGCCTTCCGAAGGCTTTTGTTGCCTTTCTGTACTGTCTAAGGGAGGGAGGGAGATAACGGGAGGGTGAAATTGAACCAACCTTCATTTTGACAGGGACCTCTTAGAAACCTCTCCAAGACCCTGGACCTAAGATTAGGAAGCCCCATCCACAACCACTTTTCTTTTTTGGTTCTTATTTCTGTTCTGAGAAATAATTTTGTTTTTTCTTAAGGAAACTGCTTATAAATAAAAGGCAAAATGAAAAACAAATAAAGTTATACAAAACCAGTGGTGGAAGGTAATTATGTGGCCTATGTTTAGGTTTTCTGTTCAGTGCCACTTTATACCAGGCCAGTATTGTGCATTTATATTTGTCATTTATTTTATTTCCATAGTTGTGTGTAGCCTACTTTACAGATAGACTGTAGATACAAAATTTAATGTTTTGTTGTAAATTCACTCCACCTCAACCAGCTACTGCACAGCATTAAAATGCTGCGGACATATTAAAGCTAGGGGAAGTAATGTTGGAGAAACAAGCAAGAGGCAGCAAGATTTTGAAAGTATCGAACCAACAACAATCCCATCCCTCCCTTCAGGTCTTCTTCCAAAGCCACTGCTCCCCCCAGCACACAGGAACAGACAGAGAGTGTTAAAGAGAGGAACACAGCTATCTCATGTCTCATTCATATATAGTTCTACATACTACATAGTGCAGGAAAATAACAACTCCCCCTCCCAAAAAAAAACAACCCAGATAATTACCAGTCCCTCAGTTCTCGCCATTGTTAAAAAGCCACACCGATGTTGACTCTGGTCTGACCTGTCGCTTTATCCAAACTTTTTGTTAGTAGCCTTTTCTGCTACTGTGTTTTCTTTTCTTGCTTTGAGTACCAGTACAAACAGTTGTAGGTGAAGGTGGCAGCATCAAAAGCCAATCAAAAGGTTGTAGGTTCAATCCCCGGTCCCCCCACTGCATGTTGAAGTATCCTTGAGTAAGATACTGAACCCCGATTTGCTCCTGATGCTGTGTCAACGATCTGTGAAAGTGTGTGTGAAAGAGCGAATGTGGCATGTAGTGTAAAAGCGCTTTGAGTGGTCGGAAGACTAGTACAGTCCATTTACATTTTGGCTGGTCTTCTGCTATTCTTGTGCAACTGTAGCTCGGTAGCTGTAGCAGTACCTGTCTGGCCGGCTTGAGGAAGACTGCAATGAGTGCACGGGCAGAGGTAGGCAGGCAGGTAGGTAGACACCCAATCATTTCATGTGGACCGAGCTTGTTACAGGCCTGTGACTGCTACAGATACAGTATTTTTTTCTCTTTTTTATTTTTAGACCATTTGGTTTATTGCTCTCGGGATGTAAAGAGAGTTTCAACCAATAAACATCCTTCTGAAATACATTACCTACCCTAGCGTTAATGCATTATTAATAATGATCCATTAAGGAATAGAATGCTCAAGGGCCATTCTGTATAGTACTTTTGTTTTTCATGTAAGCACATTTTGCTGCTCATGTTTTGATATTTTTGCATTCATTTTTGATGAGGCAGTAGAAAGACAGACAGCAAAACTGTGTAAAAGTTGTATGATAATTATCTGTGGGTTTGTCACTACGAGTAACATTACACAGTCATCCAGTGTTCATATCTATATTGATTAGTGCAACTTTAAGTAAAAATGGACTTTCACTTTCTTTTATTGTGGTATTTTTTACTTTTGCTTGAGTAAAGATTCTGATACATTCTTACACAAAACCCTGTTGATTACCTCGTACGAGGATTTCGCTTTGTGAATTCAACATTTACAGGTTTAAAGGCTCCAAAATATATGTAGGAAAATTCTTAAAGTCTGACTTGTATAACTACAAAATTAATCCAACATAAAATGTACTTTGATATTGTAAGCATGAAAACCAAGACACTAATCAGTGAGGAAAGATGCAGTGTGAAAAATGTCAGTGTCTGTGTCTAATCACAAGTATCCATGGTGGGCCTATTAAGTCAAGCTTATTAAAAAAATTCAGTGAAAATGACATTGCACCAATGAGCGCAGTCACACAGAGAGAATACTGTGGATACCAGCTCATGCTCCAGTTGAGGTCATATTTGGGCTAAGCTGTTTATATGCATATTCATATCCTAATCACAAATACCCCAGCATACATAATTAAGCTGAATACTTTGGATATTATTATGGAAAGAGAACTCAGTGTGACCACAAAAAAAACCCCAACATTAAATAGGATACCCTGGGTAATATGAGCCTACCCCAGCACATAATCACGATGGGAGCTTATACCAGATGGGAATTGGTGTTTTCATGCCCCAAATGGAAATAATATATCCTGAATAATATTGGGATGAACTGTGCACAGAACTGCCTACATTATAACATGTAGCAGTGTGTCATTGTTAAAGAGAACATTTATTGTAGGTATTGACGAAACACAAAGCAAGCCAGGCATTGTTGCTCACTGTTGTCCATTAAATTTAGTTCCATAAATCATATCAGGGCTGCCAGTGGTAGAGAAATTTAGTTTGATGACAGTACAGGCCTGAATATTTCAGCTTCAGGAGAAAGTTCATATATTCGTAATTCGTGCTCATTCCCAGTAGACATCTGGTGGAGGATGGGGTACTTTTCCTCAAGAACTGCACTTCAGTACAGTTTAGAGGTTGTGAGTAGACCTATTTTTATTTTATTAATTCATTATTTTACTCCACCATATATCAAACAGAGATGGTGCACTTTTATATGCTTCTGATGTAGTTGCTACTTACTTTGTAGAGTAGGGTTTAAGCTAGGCTAAGATAAAATTGACTTAAAATGAAAGTGTCACAGCAGCAAAGATGAAGCACAAAACAGAAGAAGTACAGAGAAGAGAAGTAAACTTAAAGCATCTATGGAATAGAAATCATGGAATGTAAATTAAGCTACTTTTCACACTATAAAAAGTGTACTGTTAGCATGTAAAAATGTGTGTTTTTTCATTTAAAAATACATTTGGTTTTGTTTTACTACAGAAGTTTACTGGGAAATTGTTTCTGGTTGGCTGGTGGGGTTCATTCAAATTGCATAACAGGACTCATCAATCACAGTTCTGATCAATGGTTTATAAGCACCATTGCATTCAGCTTGTAAGTGTAGGTAACCATAGCAACAGTAATAGGTGAATCTAACTGTTGGTTAAACTGACCAAATACATTTCAAAAGACCAGTGTGCAGGATTTTTTTGTATCTAGCGGTGAGTTTGCAGATAGCAACCAACTGAACAGTGCTCCAATAAACCCTTCCTTTCAAACTGTGTAGGAGAAACTACAATCTGGACTCATTGTTTGGTTTCTGCATTCTGGGATAATGTAAAAACATGTTGGTGCAACATGTTGACCTCTGTAGAAGAGGACCCGCTCCCTCAGAGGGCTCATTCATAAGGTAATGATAACACTAACAATTCAAATTTTCAGGTGATTATACACTAGATCCTAAATGTTACACACTGGACTGGAATTGTTTTGTTTTCATTACTTTAGAATGAGCTGTTTTTATCTACAGAGGAAGCGGGTCTTCTTCCATGGAGTCCGCCATGTTGAACCGCCACGCTGAACAGACAAACCAAATACTAGCTGTAGATAGGGCCTTTTCATGTTTTTGGCGAGTTTTGCGGGCACCATAGTTTCTACTACACAATTGGAAGGCTGAATTGTATTCACATGGTTGCAGTTTGCAACTTCACTGCACAATGCCAGTGAATCCTACACACCGGTATGATATAATGTTATATTTCCATCCTTACTACAGACAGCACTGACTGCACTCTACTGTCTCATCTTCGAATGATGTTCAATTCTAAGCATCTTTTAGGAGAATGTTAACTAAAAGAAAGAAACTCAGATGAGTATCAACATCATTGAATAAGATGTTCTCTTATCAGAACAATAAGAGAACAATGTTCAGAGAGACTTTAGTTAGAAAATGACTTGAAACTATGAAAGAAATGAAAAATGAAACATTTCCTAGGACATCTCATCTCGCTTATCACTCAAGTTAGGCAAATTATGAAGGCACGCCAATTATTACTTTCAATGGAGTGCCATAAAGTATTTGAGTATTTTTCTGCCATTGATTTTAAATCTGACTTGCATGTAGGAAAAAAATGGTGTCCATGTTCAGAGAAATAAAAGTGTTTGAAGTCCAGCTGTACACTAAACCTCTGGAGAGCCAAAAGTTTCTCCTTCCCTGAGGTGTATAAAACCTGCTCTCTCTGCTTAGTATTGTGCTGGAATTATCTCAGGTCAGAAGAGAGCTCAGGGGCTGGAGAGGGCTTAGGATAAGTCAGAGTGACAATTAGTGGAATGACACATCTTGACACGTCAGACCTCCAAACAGCAACTGATGAATCATAGGAGGAGGTCCAGAAATAGCCACCCCAGCCCCAGCAACAGAACAGTCCGACGCCTGTGTCAGCTCTGTTTTTGCATCCTAACCAGTATCCGTACTCTCAGAACAATGAACAATTATGGGCTGTATGTATGCATTTGTGATCCTGTATAGCTCTGAAGGAATGTGCAGAATTGGAGAAATTGACTACTGTATGTGCTCACAGTGCTGTTAGGTA